GACAGGTTCAGGAGGCAGAGAGGACAAGGAAGTAGACAAAACCAGGAGGCTGAAAGGACCAGGATGTAGACAGGACAAGGAGGTAGTCAAGACCAGGAGGTAGACAGAACCAGACGGTAGACAAGGCCAGGATGTGGACAGGACCAGGATGTAGACAGGACCAGGAGGTAGACAGAACCAGCAGTTAGACAGGTTCAGGAGGCAGAAAGGACCAGGAATTAGACAAGACTTGGAGGCTGAAAGGACCAGGAGGTAAACAGGACCAGACGGTAGACAAGGCCAGGATGTGGACAGGACCAGGAGGTAGACAGAACCAGCAGTTAGACAGGTTCAGGAGGCAGAAAGGACCAGGAGGTCGACAGGACCAAGAGTCTGTAAGGGCCAGGAGGTAGACAGGACCAGAAGGTAGACAGGACCAGGAGTTAGACAAGATCAGGAGGTACAAATGTCCAGGAGGTAGACAGGATCAGGAGGTAGACAGGACCAGGATGTATAAATGTCCAGGAGGTAGACAGAATTAGGAGGGAAAAAGGACCAGGAAGCAGACAGGACCAGGATGTAGACAAGACCAGGAGGTAGACAGGACCAGGAGGTAGAAATGACCAGCAGGTAGACAGGAGGTAGACAGGACCAGGAGGTAAAAATGACCGGGAGGTGGACAGAATCAGGAGGTAGACAAGACCAGGAGGTAGACAGGTAGACAGGACCAGAAGGTAGACAAGATCAGGAGGTAGAAAGGACCAGGAGGTAGACAGGTAGACAGGACCAGGAAGTAGACAAGACCAGGAGGTAGACAAGGTCAGGAGGTAGAAATGACTAGGAGGTAGACAGGACCAGGAGGTAGACAGGTAGACAGGACCAGGAGGTATGCAAGACCAGGAGGTAGAAAGGACCAGGAGGTAGACAAGACCAGGAAGTAGAAATGACCAGCAGGTAGACAGGACCAGGAGGTAGGCAAGACCAGGAGGTAGACAGGACCAGGAGGTAGACAAGACCAGGAGGTAGACAGGATCAGGAGGTAGACAGGACCAGGAGGTAGACAAGACCAGGAGGTAGACAGGACCAGGAGGTAGACAGGATCAGGAGGTTGACAGGACCAGGAGGTTGACAGGACCAGGAGTTAGACAGGACCAGGAGGTAGAAATGACCAGGAGGTAGACAGGATCAGGAGGTAGGCAAGACCAGGAGGTAGACAGGACCAGGAGGTAGACAAGACCAGGAGGTAGACAGGATCAGGAGGTAGACAGGACCAGGAGGTAGACAAGACCAGGAGGTAGACAGGACCAGGAGGTAGACAGGATCAGGAGGTAGACAGGACCAGGAGGTTGACAGGACCAGGAGTTAGACAGGACCAGGAGGTAGAAATGACCAGGAGGTAGACAGGATCAGGAGGTAGACAGGACCAGGAGGTAAAAATGACCGGGAGGTGGACAGAATCAGGAGGCAGAAATGACCCAGGAGGTAGACATGACCAGGAGGTAGACAGGACCAGGAGTTAGACAAGACCAGGAGGTAGACAGGTAGACAGGACCAGCAGGTAGACAAGATCAGGAGGTAGAAAGGACCAGGAGGTAGACAGGTAGACAGGACCAGGAAGTAGACAAGACCAGGAGGTAGACAAGTTCAGGAAGTAGAAATAACTAGGAGGTAGACAGGACCAGGAGGTAGACAGGTAGACAGGACCAGGAGGTATGCAAGACCAGGAGGTAGACAGGTAGACAGGACCAGCAGGAAGACAGGATCAGGAGGCAGAAAGGACCAGGAGGTAGACAAGACCAGGAGGTAGAAATGACCAGCAGGTAGACAGGGCCAGGAGGTAGGCAAGACCAGGAGGTAGACAGGACTAGGAGGTAGACAGGACAAGGAGGTATCAATGACCAGGAGGTAGACAGGATTAGGAGGGAGAAAGGATCAGAAGGCAGACAGGACCAGGAGGCAGACAGGACCTGGATGTAGACAAGACCAGGAGGTAGACAAGACCAGGAGGTAGACAGGACCAGGAGGCAGCAATGACCAGCAGGTAGACAAGACCAGGAGGTAGACAGGACCAGGAGGCAGCAATGACCAGGAGGTAGACAGGACCAGCAGGTAGACAAGACCAGGATGTAGACAGGTAGAAAGGACCAGCAGGTAGACAGGACCAGGAGGCAGACAGGACCAGGAGGTAGAAATGACCAGGAGGTAGAATGGACCAGGAGGCAAATAGGACCAAGAGGTAGACAAGACCAGGAGGCAGACAGGACTAGGAGGTAGACAAGACCAGGAGGTAGACAGGATCAGGAGGCAGAAATGACCAGCAGGTAGACAGGACCAGGAGGCAGAAAGGACCAGGAGGTAGACAGGACCAGGAGGTAGAAATGACCAGCAGGTAGACAGGACCTGGAGGTAGACAGGACCAGGAGGTAGGCAAGACCAGGAGGTAGACAGGTAGACAGGACCAGGAGGTAGACAGGATCAGGAGGTAGAAATGACCAGCAGGTAGACAAGACCAGAAGGTAGACAGGACCAGGAGGCAGACAGGACCAGGAGGTAGACAGGATCAGGAGGCAGAAATGACCAGCAGGTAGACAGGACCAGGAGGCAGAATGGACCAGGAGGTAGACAGGACCAGGAGGTAGAAATGACCAGGAGGTAGGCAAGACCAGGAGGTAGACAGGTAGACAGGACCAGGAGGTAGACAGGATCAGGAGGTAGAAATGACTAGGAGGTAGACAGGACCACGAGGTATGCAAGACCAGGTGGTAAACAGGTAGACAGGACCAGGAGGTAGACAAGACCAGGAGGTAGACAGGATTAGGTGGTAGAAATGACTAGGAGGTAGACAGGACCAGGAGGTAGACAGGACCAGCAGGAAGACAGGATCAGGAGGCAGAAAGGACCAGGAGGTAGACAAGACCATGAGGTAGACAGGACCATGAGGTAGACAAGACCAGCAGGTAGACAGGACCAGGAGGTAGACAGGACCAGCAGGTAGACAGGATCAGGAGGTAGACAGGACCAGGAGGTGAATATGTTTATGTGAAATAATGACTCATCCATTACTTCGATAAAAACCCTCAAAATCTAAAATGCTTGCATGTCGCCATCTTTGTTTTACATATTACATGTAGTTCCATAATAATAATGCATAGCTATGGATGAAGGGGAATCATTATATTGAATTGAGGAAGACCCAACAGGAGCTTATAAAGGAATAGCTTTTGACGGACGGGTGGAACAACCACGGATGATAGACGGACGAAGTATGATTTAATTCATATCTATGACCCGTTCACATGTACAACTGAAATGTCTTTCACATTTATGAGTCATGTATAATGTACCAGCATATCTATATATTACACTTTCTTATCTGAAAATACTTAATTAAAATGTGAACTTAAAAACAAGTGCAAATCTTTATTTACATGGAATGTGTTTTACCCAGCCTTATCATGGAAGCTAATCCCCTACTTCTGACAATATTTTGTTCATATAGCGCAGTCATATCAGTCCACAGATACAATGTTCCATTGCATGTATAATGGAGATAGATTTCGCCTCACAGTATGTATTAAGATACATAGAACATTCCTGTGACGTCATCAATTGGGAATGCCAAAAAAAAAAGTTAAGATAATTAGGTCTGTTAAACTATAGATTTTAAAGTTTTTTCCCCTTTTTAATACCCTTTTTGTGAAGGCTTAGATTTAAAAACGCACATTGACTGATTTGCTAATAATTTCGTAACGCTACATTTAAGAAATCGTTATCAATGCGTCATGCAGTGCAGGCTTTTCCAACTATTTTATCTTCGTGTACAGACAATAAAATACACGTTACAGCTAAAACTGTGTTTAAAAATAAAAAGTAACAGTCAGTTCGGGTTTGTATCTTTTTTCGTTTTTAGTAACGACCTTAGATAATATTTCCATTGAAATGTTGACCGGTTATCGAAGACCGGGCGAATAACGTCGTTATTCACAGATCAATAATCAATAAAATCAATATTCACTAGAACGTTTAGCAGCAAACACAATATCTTATAATCGTATGAATTCAAAGACTTGAACGTGGAAAATGAAGTTCAAAAGAAGAAGAAGATATACGCTTGCTTTCGAGGTGTTAATTTTATTCCGATCTGATGCCTTATATTTCAAAATCTCGAACTGGAGATATGAATAGAATAATGGCATGGTAACAACCGTACTAGACTGACACAAAACACACATGATCATTTTCTCGCAATGTTCATTTTAATATAAACATAATATTTTGGCAGATAAACATGTGTCAGGTAACACACGTGTGTCGACGTAGATAGTACCCGAAGGTCACAAGTTTCGTGATATGACGCAGAATTCAATAAACAGACTGCTTTTTAAGTTTGAAGATTACAACCAGTATTTACAAATCGCTGCATAGATAAGCAAGCATCTCGGCTGCCAGGTTGATATTGACGCATTTGATTTTAGATGAACAATTTCATCATTCAGTGAAAATTGGATAAAATATTTATGTGAGTTGAGATACGATAAAAAAAATGTTCGGGGTTAACTTCCATGACTACTGCGCATGTCATCAGGGATCACAATATCACGCCCACACGGTTTGGCTGAAACCTAGAATAGACTTAGAGTTTTGATTGAAAGTTATGTAAAGATCGTTATTTTTGAGGTGTCTGGGTTTTTTTTTATTCTTAACTGCGATATTAATCTGTGAAAACCCTCGACCTTTTTATGATTTGCGTACAACAGATTTTTTCGCTCCAAGATTTTGGTAAATGGTTGATGTAATTTTCCTAGTACAGCGTTGACGTGCGATGGTAACGTACCAAAACGTCAAAGTATTTGATAATTAACCTATGTTGACATGCACTGGTAATGTACTTACCACAACGCTGTTTTTTTTTCTTTTTAATTTACGTACAGACTTATTTTGATAATTTACCTACCACGATGTTCAGTTAAGTATATAATTTGGATAGCCACGACTTTGACCTAGGTTTTTGATTTACTTACCACAGCATTGAGGTAGCTGGGGATATCTCCCTTGTCGGGAATGAAGGCTCCAATGTTTGAATAACAGAAGTATGGAAGCCAACATAACAGGAAACACAGGAGAACGATGAAAAGTGTCTTGGCGACTGCCCTCGCTTCACTGCGCTGTTGGTGACCTTCACTAGTAATTGCGTGCTGTCTTTGAAACTCTCCTGACTTCCGGATGGCAATATATATTTTGATATAGGCCACTATCATAACAATAATTGGTAAAAAGAGATTAATGAGCTGGTTTACAGCATGAAGCATATATGAATTAACAGGATAAGTCGGCCCACACTGCATTGTCTTAGGCTTATACACCGCTCTGTTAAAGAGGTTGGTAAGTATGGCCAATAAGAGGCCCCATGCCCAAGCTAAAACGATCATCAGGTTCCCTACCCATCTTCTCGGATGTCTAAAGACCTGTTTTACACAAAGCCATTTGTACACTGCTATCCACATGAGTGTATGAATAGATGTCACTAAAAGAGTAGTATTGATGATTAGGTTCAGCGTGCACATAAATCGAGGAAGGTTCCAGCATTCTTTTAGCAGGTTGTAGAAAGCTAGAGGGGCCATGAGAGCGCCAATCATTAGGTCAGCTATAGCGAGGCTTAGTAGAAACATGTATGTCATTTCCCGCATGGTGCGATTCTTTACAATAACCAGTATTACCATAGAGTTACCAAATACTGCACCGATAATTGTAATAAACAGCATTGTTCCCAAGAATATAGTTGTCCCGGTACCAAAATAGTCCGAGGTATCAGTTAGATTTTCACAACTTCTATGGCTGTTAAAGAATAAATTGTTTTGTAAAATCTGATTTTCTTGAGTCGATTCAATCATAGTTTTATTCCCCGCCATTGCGTATTTCTGTTTCAATGTGTAACAATCAGGTAAAACGGTAAAACTCGCTCTATTTCAATTCCGTCTGTATATTATTCGCAGAAGATGAAGCTCTTTTCCATACATTGTTACTGTATCAGTCTGCTTATTCGATCTGTATCATCACTTTGGTAAAGGCTGTCTCATTTGGTATAGTTCGGCTGTTTCCATACATTACTCCGCCTCCTAAAACGAGAGAAAAACTATAAATAGCACTTGTACGTCATTTCGACATGTAAAAACTACATGTTTGCCTTGACATAATGACACGAATAACGGTACGTAAACTATATAACAATACATATATCCTAATCACTGGTGTATCTTTTATACAATATTATAACTTAATACTAAATCCGTAATAAAAATGCTATTCAAGTGCTTTTTGTTATAACGTATCTTACACTATATACGTATTAAAAGAAGCTATTCACCTGTGTCTTTTGTACATGTTCTTGTGGTTACAAGTAGTAGATACTACTGGCGGACGTTTCCCAGATTTGCATTTTACGTTGTAACTTTTGGAATGATGTACGCATTCACTTTATTTTTAGATGATCCAATATGGAGATAAATGTCGTTGAATCAATTAATTACACACAGTACAATTTCTCATGTCTGCGCTGTCGTGGCTGTTTCTTCAAGCAATAACTTTACCATAATTACTTTGGATGATATGCGACGGACCTTCCGTATATATTCAGTGAGGTAGCCATCAAAGCTGACCGCGCCACAAAAACACACTGACGGGGACATAAACCTATTGTAGCATTACTGACGAGTCCTAAAATGGCGGCACAGTTGTGTTTCTAAGCTAGATATATAAAAGGCGACACTGCATGAAAAAGTATATTTTGTACAGTTCATTAAATTGTAAACTGAAACATTGATATATGGAAGTTGGAATTATATACTATGAGCAATTGATCTTAACGCAAAATTTTTAGTGTGAAATGTTGACGACGTCGTTGCTGCAGCTTACATTCGCTTCTGATAAAAGTATCAGCATCAGCTACATCATAGCTTTTCACATAGTGATTAATCGGTGTCTTTATTGATAAGTAAGTTGCGAGTTCTTTCAAGAACAACAAGAAAACACCAAAATGTGAACAAAGCTATAATCCAAACCCAATTTTGATGAAAATAGAAATTAAATAATAATAGTAATAAGGGCAAAATATGGACAAAATAAAGATTTACACAGAGAGTCATGAAAAGGTACAGGGAGAATATAGCCAGGCGTTCCGGAAGAGTAGGCGTCTTTTGCTTCGTTGAAGACACACTTCATGTAAACCTTGGTTAATTCCAAGTAATGTCACGTTCATATATGAGAACAAACGAGCGTCAAACATGTTAAGCTTCATATCGCACAAAGAAATGGAATATTTCTCGATTAGATCACTATGGTGACCGTAATCTTTTTCATGAACCTGCATCTTTTTAATTAATGTTTTAAGAGTTAGTTTGTCAGTTGACATCTTGCACGAAAATAATGATACTGGGAACAGGCCCTTCAGTATTAAATTAGATGAACCATGCAGTTGCTGCTTCTACCCAGAAATGGAATATTTACAATAGAAAAATTAAAATCATCATGCTTATCATACAGCTTGGTGGAAAGCTGTCCATGTAGGTTTCGTTGTAGGACAAGATCGTTATCAGAGGTTGAAGAATAATCTGTCATGTTATCAGGTGCTGAAACGATATCACCAGGAAAAAGGACAAAAGAAAAAAAAAACAAACAAAATAAAACATTGCAAAAATATAGGTGAAGTTAAATATAGGAGTAAAGCAAGTTTGTTATTGACTATGTTAACAGGTCTCATAAGGAGATAGAATGTTACAAACGCTATCTTCAGATTCCTCAACAAAAACACGAATAGGTTACATGCTTGATAATGCGTTTATCATGTGCAATACAAAGTAACATACAGCGATGTGATAGGAAACTTAGGAAAGGAGGTCGGACTGATCTGGCACACGCCGACTAAGTGCTTCACAGCACGCCAACGTCTTCCATAGATACATAAAGCGTCTTACCTCTACGTTGGAGGTATCAACATGTATAATTATTAAAACAAATTTGAGATGGTTTCTAATCTTCGCTAAATGACTGGTTTTAAACCAGTATTTTCATTATTTAAATCAAAATGCAACAATGAGGCTAAAAAAAGATGCCTAATCTTGCAGACTTTTGATATGCTTCATTGACAAGGAACGTGTTTACTTGAACGAGTTAAAATGCATTTGCTTAAAAAGTCGATGCCGCTATGATCACATGACGTCCTTCTCTATCACCTCTGATTGGTCACTCAATGGACACTTCAAAACCAAAATGACGCAGAGCGTATTAAAACCTTATCCAGAAAGCCGTAAGACAATCCAAGGTCACAAGACATTGACAACAGGGTCACTAAGACATGGAATCCCTGTTGACATAGAAACACACTGTACCTATATTATTGAGACACCTCACATTGATATAGACACAAAATATCGAATATATGTTAGTGATGACCTCGAAAATGGCACGAAAAGTCCTTGATTCAGCAAATGCATCGATATTCAGTTGAACTATTTTTCACCGAACACTGCAGTTTTGATATAATATCGTATATATGCCAAAAGCTAGTAGAATCACCAGAGTATGAGGGTCTTATTGATTGGCTGACAAAACAATGTACAAATATCTAATTAAGTATTTCAATAGATACCTCACTGAACAACATCCGGGAGACACGCCACATGCCATCTACAGCAATTATGGTAAAGAATCATAACCAAGGCCACAGTTACGTCATCACATATCGGTCGATTCTCAGTTTACTGAGAAACACAAACCGTCACAGATAATTATCGTCATACAATCTACCTCGCAGATATCAACAGAAGTAAAAGTAAAACCGGTTCCATCAAATTAACTACACTTAAAGACGGGTCAAGAGGTTTCTTTGCGCGTGACGGAATCCTTAAACAAAACCTCGATCTGATCGTAGACTGTGGCAGTGAGCCTCGGTCTGAGTATGAACATTCAGATGTTTACTTTTTCATGCTGGAAATTTACCTCACTTAGCTACTTAGCCTAACAGGTGAAAGTTATTTCGAATACATGTTGCCGGAACGCCGGGTACTTACGAGAAACTCGTGATAAGTATAATTCTTATATTTTTTGCCATTTTGGCATCCTTCTTTCGAAGCACTGGTGGTGGTGATAGGGAGTGGGGAGAACTCCACTGATACAGGGAAGATAACCAGCGACATTTTATATCTCTCAGGCAGTGAAATATTGCCGAAAGTCAGTGGGAATCCATCTTTAAAACAAACCTTGTTTCTTTTCTAGACTGGTTATCAGTGTATCCGTGTCTACATTCGGTAACACCGGCATCTACTTTAGTGAGAAGGACAAATGTCAGAAGTTCTCCTGGTAAATGAAACATTGAAACACCCCATGGTCTTTACACTTTATCAATATGAATATAATCATCCTCAATTTCATTGATATTAGTCAGAAACCGGGTGTTTGGATAATGGCAGCTTTTATGAGACATTGAGAATACGAGTTACAACGGAGACTAATCGTTATCGATCCAATCATGTTTACTCTCTAGAACACTTAAGAATGTCTTGTTGTCAAAAAACAAGTGTAACTATTGAGTCATTTGTAATAAATCTACATTCGGGAACGTCTTTAAAGTGAAGATAATTGATTATGCTGATCAGGTATCTAAGCATCGTTAGCTACCGGGCAAACTAGCCTCCAGTTTTAGACATCAGCTTGTCGGTAGTTATTGCCATACATTTGTTGTTTATCTAGGATATTTACTCATTACCGCAGTATTTGAACCAATTTCTCATCTTCCTTTTTTGTTTATTTGTTTTTTTAATATTCATGCACTAAAACAATATGATGGACTAATTCCCATCAGTTAGCGTTACAGATGTATACTGTCGGAATCGTCAGAGCATGCATACACTCATGCTCGCATGTTACTCTAGCGATGACATTTACAAGACACCAATAAAAACTTACCCAATAAAACGCTCAAGGGATAGGGATACATGTACTAAAGCTAGAACTACCACCAACATTGTACAAAAATATACTATTGAATACATTTTTTTCAATATAGATAAAAAGTGAGATACAGTAGTGCCAAATGATGGATAGAACTGCATCATACAGCGGTTTCTTCCTTCTAGGACTCGTCAGTGATGCTACATCATAGAGCTGTTTAGTTCTTCTAGGACTCGTCAGTGATGCTGCATCATACAACTGTTTCGTACTTCTAGGACATGTCAGTGATGCTACATCATACAGCTGTCTCGTCATTCTAGGACTCGTCAGTGATGCTACATCATACAACTGTTTCGTACTTCTAGGACATGTCAGTGATGTTGCATCATACAGCTGTTTCGTCCTTCTAGGACTTGTCAGTGATGCTACATCATACAGCTGTTTTGTCATTCTAGGACTCGTCAGTAATGCTACATCATACAGCTGTTTCGTCCTTCTAGGACTCGTCAGTAATGTTACATCATACAGCTGTTTAGTTCTTCTAGGTAACGTCAGTGATGCTAAGGGCCTAAGTCTTGAAACCTACGAGACATTTCAGGAAATTCAAAATTGACCAAAAGCAATGGAAACATATATGTGTGGAAGAGCACTAGACCCGTAATTCCATCAATTTTGCAATTATCATATATCTGACAATTTTATAACAAAGTCAGATACATGAGTATATTCTGAACTGCTGAACTGTGCCATTACTTGAACAAATAAAAACATGACATGCAGGTTACGACAAACCTCGAGGACTAAACGTTTACCAGTAATGTCTACCACCATCTCGAAGAGTGGAAAAAACTGAATAGTTCCTTTCAATATAATTTAAAATTAGATCAACAAGGCTATTGATCATTGAATATATTCATTGACTGAATGTGATGTTTTGGAGTTTGTAAGACAAAGAATCGAAATAAAAAAAACACACACACACAGTGGCTATTAAGCAAATAGTTCCAAATAGTGCCAAAAATATAAAGACGAAAGCATGTCGCGACAATTTGACAGCTAACCTTCGTCCATTCGACTATTAATCAGCTGTCGTCAAGACTCGGTCATTGGGGCTTTATGTTTGATACAGGAAATAGACGTTTTCAAAAGCAAATACATTATACGTTTTGTTAAAGATCTGCTCGATGAAGAGAGCTAGACGTTTGCAACTGTTAATCCAAGAAAGCGGTACATTCGTTCAATATAAACCTTTTCAAAACAGACTCAACAATTTCTAGACGAATCGCCAGGTGTATAAACACATCTAATTCTATTTAATGTCACTGCACTTTTCAATGCAAATTTAGAACCATTTAGAACTGAATCGCGCAGCTGATTCGACCTTCAATGATATTTCAATGTTGATAAGAGCCTATATTTTTATGCCGCGATGAAGATGCAAAGCATCCCTTCGGTCATGCTCTGGATTTATACTAACCGATTCAAAATTCATAGAGCGAAAAGGAACAGCAATTTTCGCAATCAGGAAAATGTGGATCCGGAAAATAGATTTGATCAATGAAAATAAAGACAAATATACATCCTGACATGTAATGTTGATAAAATTGATTATTTTTTTTTTATACCCGTATCTTCTTGGTATAGGGGAAAACTCGTTTTATCCTGTCATTGATTTATCAGATCTCACGTTGTCGATAAAATATGAGGAAATCGTATGATTGAGTCTGAACAAAATACAGGGTAACAACACAGAGTAGATGGTATTCACCCTATTAAGTGAGATATTAAGGTTTCCATCTTCAAATCAAATACCTGGCGGACAGCAATGATAAATCACAAAGTCTTTTTCACAAAATCGATATTTCCACTCAAGGTTTTTGTGTTTGTATGTTGATAGTTTTATACTAGAATGACGAAAACCATATCCTTCTATAATCCATTGTGAATCAATATTTATCAACAACACTTAGCCATACATCGGAACAGTTACACATACTGAACTCAATTCATCATATTGAAGACATCCATTTAAAACAAATACAATGGACATGTCAATCAAAGGTTCACAATGCGTTTCCAAGGTAACATTCTAAACGCATACTTATTCCTCGGAATCTTTTACTGCAACCATGGAAAACGCTTAAGTAATTACATCAGATGTTTAACTACCTGCTTAAGTCAATAAAATGCTTTAAATTTCATAGTTTTCTTGATAACATGTGAGATCTGCTACCAATACCGCATTTCAATTATCAATGATGTCATTGATCAAACAATTTACATATTAAATATTATGAGATATAAAAACAAGGCTGTCCCTGTTCTTATAAAATTTCTCTCTCTCTCTCTCTCTCTCTCTCTCTCTCTCTCTCTCTCTCTCTCTCTCTCTCTCTCTCTCTCTCTCTCTCTCTCTCTCTCTCTCTCTCTCTCTCTCTCTCTCTCTCTCTCTATATATAACAAGTATCTCAGACCTCTTACGTATACAGATTCCAGTAGTCTCTAATTATCTCTCTTACTTACACTAGAATTCATCACAGCAATATCAGTCATTGTAGAAAACATTCTTTCTACATATACATCAGTAAGGATTTAATATTTGATAATTTGATAGTACGCCATTTAAAGTGAGTCAATGATATCAACATCATTCATCTTTGTTATATATACTGTAAGTACTTCTAGATTAACTATCCTTACCTATTAACACCTGAACCGATAAGGTATTCTGTTGTTAAATATGTACATAAATATAGTAAGTCGCCAATTTAACATTGATTTAATAAGATGTACATATTTTGAGAAACACCGAAAAATACATTATAATAAGGAACAAACTCACAGAAACGAGGAACATTTCAAATACACATTTGGAAGAAATATTTATTCACTCACAATAAAAGCGACGATTTTAAGAGATTTTTGTCAAAATGAGCGAGAAATTATTCCTATTCGAGTCAGAATCATGACATGCTTAAAACATTGACAGAGAGTAGCTAACATTGGCACAGAGGTGTTAACGTTGACACAGAGGAGTTAACATTGGCACAGAGTAGCTAACATTGGCACAGAGTAGCTAACATTGACACAGAGGAGTTAACATTGACACAGAGGAGTTAACATTGGCACAGAGTAGCTAACATTGACACAGAGGAGTTAACATTGGCACAGAGGAGTTAACGTTGACACAGAGTAGTTAACATTGACACAGAGGAGTTAACATTGGCACAGAGTAGCTAACATTGACACAGAGGAGTTAACATTGATACAGAGTAGCTACCGTTGACACAGAGTAGCTAACAATGGCACAGAGTAGCTAACATTGACACAGAGTAGCTAACATTGACACAGAGGAGTTAACATTGACACAGAGGAGTTAAAATTGACACAGAGTAGCTAACATTGACACAGAGTAGCTAACGTTGGCACAGAGTAGCTAACATTGGCACAGAGGAGTTAACGTTGGCACAGAGTAGCTAACATTGGCACAGAGTAGCTAACATTGACACAGAGTAGCTAACATTGGCACAGAGGAGTTAACGTTGGCACAGAGTAGCTAACATTGACAGAGTAGCTAACATTGGCACAGAGGAGTTAACGTTGGCACAGAGTAGCTAACATTGACACAGAGGAGTTAACGTTGACACAGAGGAGTTAACATTGGCACAGAGTAGCTAACATTGACACAGAGGAGTTAACGTTGACACAGAGGAGTTAACGTTGGCACAGAGTAGCTAACATTGGCACAGAGGAGTTAACATTGACACAGAGTAGCTAACATTGGCTAAGACGAACTAATATTGGCTAAGAGGAGCTAAAATTGACCAAGTGGAGCCAACATTGGCTCAGAGGAGCTAATATTGGCCCAGATGAGCTAACATGGCACAAAAGAGTTAACATTAATTAATTACCTTCCGAGCTCTATGAAGACCAAACATCAAAGAATTCACACGAAAGACACCTAAAACCTAACGATTATATAGACACATCGAATAAGATACATGATTTTAAACTGGGCTTGAAAACAAAATTCACAAATACTACTTACGTTAATTATGTACGGCCATACTCCTGTAGACTCTAATCTCTACTTACGGTGTATGATATTTACGCCATGTTTTGTACTGATGGGTCTTATGGTCTAACGTTAATGATTAGATTGAATAATTTGCATATTTCAGATACGTTAACATTGATTAAAACAGAATCCATGTAATTGTTTGTAAAAATTATGATAATTTACCATATCTCACTAAAACACAATTCATGTAATTGTTTGTAAAAATTATGATAATTTACCGTATCTCACTAAAACACAATTCATGTAATTGTTTGTAAACAATATGATAACTTACCGTATCTCACTTAAAACACAATCCATGTAATTGTTTGTAAACAATATGATAACTTACCGTATCTCCCAAAAACCACAATCCATGTAATTGTTTGTTAAGACCAAACATGTAACGACTTATCGTGTCTTACAGGATTAAATGTAACGAGATATGAAGTGATTTCTTCCAGGCTGAAATGATGCCAGCGATGTGTATATATACCAAGGTTAACCCTGGGTAGAAGTTCTGAGAAAGTTGACACGTGTTGCCTTATATTCCTTTTTAAACTTCCTTTATGTCATTGCTGCACTAGTACATAGTTGATTCCGAGAAATTGTTTTTTTTTCTTCAAAACGTTGACCTACATACAAAATTCGACGTAAACACCGATAACAAGGGACTCGCAGACCTGCCCGCGCAGATGATCGTGAACAGAATCTCAGCATTGAACGCATCAGCTAAGGAGAAGCCAAGAAATTATCTTGTTTTCATCCGGACAGTGATGAGGAACGGGGAAAAACACCATCATCTGCTCATGAAAAAAAACGAACGCGCAGCTACCGCTGATAAGACCCTCCCCTTACTTAAGTGATTAGGTAAGTTTTCCCACTTATTCCTGAACAATAAAAAAACGCTATTTCCATAAAGCTTTGTTCAGTATCAACGATAAAAAACTGCAGTGCTATTTAATAAAAGTTGTAATTACGTTCCATCTTTCACATTCCCCAATGATGAAATGTACAGAGAAAATGACTCGAGAAGGATGAAAGTGGCTCCCTACCGAGAGAGGGGTGGAGCAGGTACGGATATTAAATTAGGAAATCTGTAATAAGTTAGGTACGTCTTGTTTATTCTACATGTCTTGTCAAACGATGTTTGTGTATATGTATAATTAAAAGTAGATATTTATTACTCATCCAATAGTTTTTCAAACCTAAAATATGTCCATAATGAAGTTGATGGACAAGAAATTCTGGGGAAATTATATATATGACAGTAATAGATTTTGCGGAAACTGTCTATAACAATAGTAAATTATGAGGAAATTATATGTAAAAGTAATGCATAGTGAGGACACTATATAGTACAGAAATCGATTTGGAGGAAACTGCATAACAATATGGAATAGAGAGGAAACGATATATTACAGTAACAGAATTTAAGGTAAAATATATATAACAATATGAAAAAGTGACGAAACTGTATGTATCAGTAATAGATTAAACGGGAACTATGTAAAACTGTACATAATTGTCAGGAAACTATTTATACCAGTAAATTCAGTTCAGCAGAATTGATATTTTCATATATAATTATGATAATTCCTTAAGAACTCCGGTAGTTTTACTGTATTTCTCAGACGGACCAGGACAGAAATTTACGTCCACTTGCAGGCGACGTTTTCCTGTATTTATATTTAATCAAATATACTTATAACTTATATATTTTGTCATGGTAACGATCTATGTTATCTAAATTTCAGACGGAACACGTGTATATGATGGGTAATTGGTATACGGACGGCGGGGTATCGCCTCAGAATTGATCAGAACTAGATTTGTGAACACTTAAACTGATACCGTACAACACACGAGCGTAGAGTCAAACATACGCAAGACTGTGAGGAATTCGAATGATTCACAAAATGTACCGTTAATATATACCGGTACTAGCATATGTTCTTACATACATTAAGGAACTCGTGATAATGGGTTTTTTTCATATCAGTTAGACAAGAATTGCGATGTTAAGACATTATAATAATTCATGTGATATTAAAACTACGATATTATAGTACTGAACAAAACTTATCAATAACATCACAATACAGTCCTTAGTTTACAACTAAATGTCATCGTCGATACTCCATGGGGGCATATCAGTTTCACTCTCAGCACCCCTGGAACATGTCATGGCAAAATTGAAGTCACAAGCGAAGTAATTTTATTGGTTCAAGGAGAAAAACTGACCAATCACAGGCTGATACAGCTCCTTTCGAAGATTACAGAGGAGCGACATCCAACTTATGAGCCATTACAATATACGTTATGCGACCTCGAGATTCGATTGATGTACATCAAAGGATCAAACTCGTCTTTTCGTCTTGTCCGTAAGGTAATCTCACGCGGAACCTTAAATTTTGCCATGACATGTTCCAGAGGTGCACAGAGTGAAAGTGATTATACTCCCTGATACATCGAGGATGACTACACGTATATAGCACGACGAAATTGGTGTAATTCCATACACAACATGGATACATCGCCACGTGCGGTCACTGTATTGCTTACTGAAGCTAATCGGACATGCTCTACCAACACATGTAATCGTGCATATCACATGCAAGTAACACTAGGGTTAAGTAACGCTTATGTGCACTTAGCTATACATGCATACTGATATTTTTTAAAAGTATGAGATATACAGATTACCTTCTGACAATGTTGTACATATGCAAAAGCAATGTTATTGTAAATTACAAGTGTACTTTAGAGAATCTGACAAAGGCAGAACAAAGAAGCCCATGCAGAGTTTATATTCGTTTCTAAGATTTTATCATAAACTATTAATTATTGTAAGTAGAGATAGTTTTATAATTATTACATATGAAAATACAGAATAAATTTCAAGTTCTAATCAGTCATTGTGAAATCATGTTATTTTTTTTTTTTTTTTTTGTATTTTGTTTTTCTATACGTCTGTGACCATTTTCTTGGAATTTTTCTCTACGTCGGCACAGTACAAGTGACTATTTCGTATTTCTTTCTGTGTCGGTACGATGTATATGACTATAGTCGCTATACAATCATGTATTTCATTCTGTGTCGGTACGATGTATATGACTATAGTCGCTATACAATCATGTATTTCTTTCTGTGTCGGTACGATGTATATGACTATAGTCGCTATACAATCATGTATTTCTTTCTGTGTCGGTACGATGTATATGACTATAGTCGCTATACAATCATGTATTTCATTCTGTGTCGGTACGATGTATATGACTATAGTCGCTATACAATCATGTATTTCTTTCTGTGTCGGTACGATGTATATGACTATGGTCGTTATACAACGATGTAATTCATTCTGCGTTTGCACATTGACTGTAACTATTTTTCTTGGTATATTTTCCAATGTCAACACAGTGTCGCTGACTCTTTCTCTTCGTATTTTTTCTTCATCGGAGAACGTTTGTTTCGTTAAGTTTTACCGACTATGTGATAGCTTGCCGATATGCCATTGTGACATAACAATAAGAGACGGATGTGTTCTCCAACAAAGCTGCTATATGATTTAATGATTTCATGTAACTTTTATAAAACCAAGAACAAGCAGAATTGTCTTTAACCTGTCTTAAAATCGAAATTTCCTTCTATATAAAACTTGATCACGATTAAAAATCACAAACATTAATTTTACTTGGCGATAAGACTATTGATGAGGTTTAGTTTTAAACTTTGGTAGTTCAAGCAAATTAGCCGGAACCTTAATAATATTTGACACATGTTTCCAGACATAAATGATTGTTTTATCAAACCATAAAACGGCGTGTCCCTAACAGCGATATAAAAATTAACAACCATACAGATAAACCACGCACGGGAAGTTATGTTTAGTTCTTACACAGCAGTTGACGGACGTAACCATCTTGAAGCATTCTAATTGTTTACGATATGCGGAATTTTATTTCCGCTTAGAAATAGAAATTACGTTGTTTATTTGGTGATGGGGTCGTAAATGTACTTATGTTCAAACGCTTAAATATTACGATGAATATTGGCAAATATCCAACTACTCACACAGTGAATGCCATTCTGTTGTATCAAAAGACTGCTTTGTTTTTCTCTCAAACGGATGAACACCAAGCAAATAATTGGGTTGTTAGTTCTTGAACTATAACACCGAGCAAGTTTCAGCCATTTATTACGAATATCTTATAAAGCGTGCATGCAGAGCAAAGGAAGCGTTTGGTACAAAAAGGATTGTACAGGTAATACCAGGATGATAAAGACTAAGGAAAGTTGTATGATGTTTCTAATGTAATATAAAAAAATAGCTCGTTATACAGTATAGTATGAATAACACTTGTAGAGAATAATAACATGACTAGTTAAAAAGAACTGGGAAAATGTAGAATTTATTTACACATACGGTAACTAATTACGAGATCGATATTACATGAAATATATAAAGACAAATAAGAGTTCTATTGTAATGAACGACGTCACAAAAAAAATCAAGAAAATATCAACATGTCAACATAATCATAATCCAGACTCAAATTCCATGAAAACCGGACATAATATAAACAAAAGAAATATTTACGCGGAGACTTCTTCTGAACAAGTACAAGGAGAATAAGATCAGGTGTTTCGGAAGAGTATGCGTCTTATGCTTCATCGACGACACCTGCCATGTAAACCTTTGTCAATTCATATAAGTAATGTCACATTCTCAAATGAGAATAAGGTATAAAACAGCGGAATCAACAGACAATCTAATGAGCATCAAACACACCCAGGTTCAGTTCGCGCAAAGAAATTTTAGAATATTTCTCAGTGAGACAAATATGTTGAGCATAACACGTCCCCATAGTTTTGCCAGCTTGCATCTTTTGAACCTCTGTGTTACAAATTTGCCAGTCAGTTGACGATTTATTGTACGAAAATCGTGATAATAGGAACAGGTATGTGAACATCATAGGTTAGGAATGCATGAATATTGCTATACAGAAAGAAAAAAATCACAAAAGGAAATTGACTTCATCGCGTTTGTCGTACATATTAATCATTGTGTTACAAGGTTTCGTTGTCGCTTCTCTACACTTAAAGTGTACTTAGTATTTTTTCGGCTCTACTGTATTGTATTGTTTTGTACAATCTTTGTATTATGTTATTCACGAGTGAATTTTTGTATTAGAAGGTGGTATATACTTTATGTCTCACGTTCAGTTTTGTATGAAAAGATATTCTTCTCTTATGTGTCTTGTACATTCGTTTGATGAGGTAGACACTGGGTTTGACCAAGAAATATAAAGACACTTCTTGTCCAGTAAGTGAAGCACGTGATTGCGTGATATGTGTCTTTGTCGTGTTTGTATTCGCGAAACCAATAATATAGCTGATCGTGCTCATAGGAATGTGAAACTTCCAGTTATTACGTTTG